CCCAGCCCCAGGGCAGGAGCAAATCCCAGCCCTTCTGGCTACAACTGCCCACACATAAAGAGAAAGATCAGGGGGCTGGGGATTTAGCTTAGCGGCATAAGCACCTGCCTTGCAAGTGTGTGGTCGTGAGTTCGATCCCCGGTACCGATAAAAAAAGAAAAAGACAAAAGAGAGAGAGAGAGAGAGAGAGAGAGAGAGAAAGATCAGTGTTACTGGAAAAGTGCCCCACTTTTTCTCCGAGGTTCTGTACCCTCGACTGATTCCAACTGACTCCCGCACCTGGGCCCCTGGAAGTCTGGTTTCCCCATTGGGTTGGGAACCAGTCTAATTAGCAGAGTGGAGGTGGGGAGGTTTCGCACCTACTAAGAAGCAGGCTCTCACCTCCACCCCTTCGCACCACACTGTGCTGCTGCCATGTGGGTGACATGCTGTGGTACCAGACCTTGGGGGCCGGCATCGAGCAAGAGGAGGGCATGGCAGTGGGAGAAGCTGGACTCCTGGGGGACCCAGAGGAGCCTCAAGCCCACACTGCTCAGGCCACCTTCAACCCCAGCTGGTGTTCAGGGCTGGGCGTGGGAGCTGTGCAGTAGCTGGCCCTGCGCGGTGCTCCCGGCTGTGCTCCCAGGAGCACTCTGCTTCCCACCAGCCCCATCCTCAAGGAGTGGACCCTCCAGGTCAGCCCGCTCCGTGCTCACCACGCCCAGCCCATTCCCTGCTCCTGAAGACACTGTCCCAGCTCTCACTGCCCCTCCTTGCACACAGGGACCCTGGGGTTCCCACACGGCAGCCAGATTTGTCTGCAAATCTGCCCATACTCCTTCCTGCCTGCACCCCTTGCTGGCCTCTGCTGCCTTTGGCACAAAGGCCAGGACCCTCAGCACTGAATTTGGGGCTCCCTGAGGCCAAACTCCTGTCCTCCCAACCCCCACAGCTGCCACCACTGGCCCTGCTAACTTGGAGCTGGACGCCAGCCTGCCCACTGCACAAGTCCTGCATCCTGAGACTTGGCACAGTAGCCTCCCTCCCTATTCCTGACCCTGCTGACCTTGTTCAAGGAGCCTCCAAGTAGGAAAACACCCTACTCTGCCCTGGGGCTCCCAGCTGGCACCCCTGCTGCCTGTGGGGGAGAGGAAAGGTGACCCTGATAGCCTCCAGGTCTGCAATGGCACCAGAGAGAAGTGACCATTCTAGGTGACAGGAGAGAAATAATAGGCTCTGTGATATAGTCGGCAGCTGTGGAACAAACCTGGGGGTTGATCACAAAGAGTCTTTCATGCATAAAGGTCAGATTCTGCTGCTGACCTCAGCCGGGGAAAGTCCAAAATCAAAGCCAACCCCAGCCCCCAACTCGCATGGCTGTGACCTGCGTGTAATGATTCAAACTCTGCCCTCTTTGCTACAGGGCAGTGCTGCCCAGGCAGGGGGCATGTTGTTCGTTTCAAATGCCACTCAGTGAAGTCACCAGCCATAAAGCCCACCTGGGTGCCCAGCAGCACACACCAGGCATCTGATGAATGACGCACACAGAAAGCCCATCCGTGAGAGCCATAGGCTGGAATGAGACCGGAGGGCTAATCGCTAATATAGGAATTAATACCAGCAGGCGCCGTCCGCTAAGCAGCTGAGACCTGCCAAGCTGAAGGCCAGTTCACCTCGGGGGTGGGGTGGGGGTGGGGACAGGGCCAAAGTTGGGCCGTGGCTCTGGAAGGACCGATGCCTGGTCAAAGGGGAACGGGTCGCACCTGCTCCACTCTAAATTCACACTGAGATTATGTGGGTCTGTCACGGGGTGAAAGGACCCTAGAACCCCAGCACGCCCCACTCCCAGGCTGGACAAAGTGGGTGCTTCACTCCATTGTTCCCTATGCTGAGGCCCACTCCCCAGGGGCTGACCCCCATGAGACTGTGACTTCCTAGAGGACAAGGGGTTCTCTTTGTAAATTAAAAAAAATTATTAGTACATATTTGTGGTACATAGTGACTGCCTTCATCGTGGGGAGTTGGTTCATGAACGGAACACATCTTCATTCTTTTGACACCCACTTCCCCTCCCTTCTTCCCCCCACACCCGCCTCCAGCTCTTGGTGAGGGGTCCTCTTTGGATCCCAAGTCTTGTCTGGTCCTAAAGCATGATGGGACTCAGTATATGTTTGCTGGGTGGGAAGCTGGCCGGCTGGCTGGAGAGATGGGTGGAGTAGATGGAGGGCGAGGAGGACGGAGAGACTGACAGAGGAAGATGTGGAGAGAGGGGTGGAGGCAGAAATGGGGTGCGTGGGGAGAGGGAGGCAGGAGAGGGCAAGAGAAATGCAGGGCTCTTGCTGCGGTGCCCACTCAGTGACGCCTGTCCATTGCTCGGGTCCTGGTGTGGCGCAGGGAGAAGGGAGCTGGCCTGGAATCTGAGGCCCCTGCTGTCCCACAGGTATATATGAGCTTGCACAAGTCCTGCCCCACCTTCTCAGCCTGCACAGTGGGGTGTCCCAGGCTCAGAGAAATCCAGGAAAGGGATGAGGTGTGGGGTTCCTGGGTAGACAGCAGATAGCACAGGAGGGTGGGGGGGGCACGTGGTTCTTTTTTTCTTTGAAGATTTCTTTTACTAGAGTTGTGATGTTATTAAGTGGGGAGGGGAGTAAAATTAGGTGAGCGCTCAAAGAACTAACAAAGGAAAGCTTTTACCATATAGACTCAAAAAATGATTTTTTGGGGAAGAGACCAGACCTGGAGTCTGGGGGACAGGGCCAAGCTGGGCAAGGGGCTCAGCAGAGCCGGCTGAGCGGGCAGGCTCAGGCAGGGGTGCTCAGATCAGGTGCTCTGTAGCAGGCTGTTGTGGCTGATGCCCAGGGACCCCAGAGTCCCTGTGTCTTTGGCTGGGCACTAACTCTCTGTGCTGTGGACCCCACCATTGAGCGGTGAGCTAAGCTCTGGTGGTCGCATGCCAAGCGGGTCCCTTCCACATTAATTATTGGTTCAGTGAATGCGGGTGGCTACTAATGGTCATCATTACGCAGCCCCTCTCATGAGGAGCCACAGTGCTGCCCAGAGTGCTCACCCCAACCACAGCCAGCAGGCTCACGGACAAAGCCAGCACCACCCCTGATGCCGGTGTTGGCACAGCACTGTCTTCAAGAGACCCGGAGACCTAGGGAAGGACGAAGGACGTACAAAGCTCGATGGTGCCTGGTTCAGACCTTTGGTTTCCCAAACAAGGAAGTGGAGTGACTCACTGGGTGCATTTATTAAGTACCTACTATGTGCACAGTGCCGAGCCAAGTGTGGGAGAGTACAGCCTCAGATATGCCCTTCAAGGCAGGGGACAATTCCTTTCATCATGTTGTGTCATCGCCATCACAGTGTGTGGGACTGTGTGGCCGGTACAGGGAAGGAGGGGTGACATTTGAGACCATTCCTTTAGAAGGAAATGGTACAGGGAAAGGCTTGGGAGAAGCCTGATTGGGAAGCAGAGGCCAGGCTGAACCATGTGGTCTCTGTCCTGCGTGCTGTGGGTGGGCCACCGGGGTGGACCCGCCTTCTTCCTGGATGCCTGATTCCAAAAGAGCACTTGGGCGGTTTGCATGTGTCATGGGGAGATAGCTGCAGCTCTGGGGCTCCAAGACACGCCTACCAGCCCCTCTATGTGGGGGCCCAGCTGCCCCCGCCCTGCCGCTGGCAGGATAAAACAATTCCTCGCCCTGGCCAGAGAGGCAAATGACCTCACTGGACTCTTTCCATCTCCCGCTTTCATAGAGAAATTACAATTTATAATTGGATGGAATCACGCGGGTAGTAATAGCAATATGCCTGCAACTCGCTGGTTCCCCCTCATGCAGAGATTGTCCTCAGCTTCCCTCCTGCCCAGCCCTCTCCCTGGCCTGCCTAGGGGCCAAGCCTACCACCCCAGCACATAGAGCCCCAACACTGACCAGACGCTGGTCATTCAGGACTGATGTCACACTGGCCTGCTGCCCCCTCAGGCCGCCTTCCTCCTGGGGACACTAAGAACCCCACCTTATCCTCTCACCCTGCACCCCCAGCCACACACCCGTCCTCCACACAGGTACTGCCAGCGGGGAGCCCTTGGCGGCCACCCCCACCCGGTGCTGGGCTTATTAATCATGCACCCTGGATGTCCTTGTTTTCATTTTAACAGCCCCAGACAACCAGCATTTCTCAAATCAGCCACCTTCGGCCCTACAAAGAAAAGTACCCAGATGCAGCTGAGCCCATCTGGATCCGATTTCAAACCAGAGCCTATACTCTCAGATGTGTAATGAAAGCCCTTTTCCAAAGAGGGGCTCCTGCAGGGGGATGCGGACACCAGGGCCCTGGCCTTCCGCAAGGCACCTCTAATGAGAGCTATGTGGGGAGGGCTCAGTTTTGTTTCCGATTCCTGGGAACAGCCTGCCTCACCCCCAGGTCTCTGCAAAGCGGGAGGGCCAGGGGGTGGGGAGGACCTACCCTGCCTCTTAGGCAGGGTGGCTGCAGAGGAACGTGAGGGACACGGAGACCCAGCTTCTGGGGCCTGGATGATCCTACTTCCCATGATTGGAAAAATCACTACTTGTTCTGAAGGCCCCAGCCATGGAGGCCCAGTTGGAACCTTGAATGTCATTTAGCAGGAAGAGCAGGTGCTGGGGGGAATGGAGCCAAAGCTGGGCTGGTGGCAGCTTCAAAACTTTGTCGTTCTCTCCCCAGCTCTTGCATTTACAGAGAGAAAAGGGAACCAGGTAGCAGCAAGGAAGGGCCCCTCAAGAGAGCGGCTGCTCGGGTTATCTGGACCTGAAGAGACGGAGATGGGAGACAATAATCCAAACCCTGTCCCAAGCTGCCAGGGAGTGGCACTGAGGAGAGCAGGCTGTGGGGCTTGGAGTGTCAGTCAGTGGTCGAGTGCTTGCCTAGGATGTGTGGGGGCCCAGGTTTCATCTCCAGCCCTGGCAGCCCTGACAGCGCTTGTCCCCTCAGGCCTCAGTTCTGCTGGGCATGATCACTTGTATTGTCTTTGGCAGGTGAGGAGGCAGAGAGCGGGAGAAGAGGCCCCCTCTTTGGACAGACGAGACCAGAGGTGAAGTAGGAATAACCCCTCCTCCGGCCTCCCAGCAAGAAAACCTCTGCAAACTCGAGCAGCCATGCGGGACTGAGCCCCGGCACCCTACAGCAGCTCCCCAAAGCGGGGTGTGTGGGGCCTGACAGCTCCTCGGTGAACATCTGAACTCCTCAGCAGGGTAATGGACCCCCTCCTTCCCCCGGAGACACAGCCTGAGTGGCAGGAATACCGAGCCTTTGGAGAGTGGCTCCCTCTCGGCTCTGTCACGCAAGAACGCTCTCTGCACCGAGCCCATTCTGCCAAGTGACTTAAAGGGATTTAAAAAGAGAGAGAGAGAGAGAGAAGAAACAAAAAAACGTTGGTAAAGAAAAGGGGGCTTAAAAGGCAGGCAGCGGCCTTTCAGAGGAGGTGGCAGCCTGCGGACAAAGGGTGAAAGTTGAAAGAGGGGAGGAAGTGGCCAGCGAGAGAGGCCACCCCCCTGGGGCGGTGTGGGGCATGCCCCGGGAGCAGGGGGCCAGAACACCCTCAGGCCCCACTCCCAAGCCCCTGGGGCCGCCGAGGGTATCCCTGTGTACCCATAGCAAAGGCCCCTTGCTCCAGACGGACTAGGGAGCCAAGGATGCTGCCCGGGACCCACAGCCTCATCTGAACGGGGAACCTGGAAGACAGGAAAGCACAGGGTCCCCTCCCTGAGCCTCCAGTGTCCCCCACGCTGCCAGTGCATCCAGGCCTGCGGTCTGCACTCCACACAGCTCTTGGCCTGTCATGGCTGCAGGGGCAGGAATGTGAGGGTGACCTGGGCCCACGTGTCCCTCGGAGCGACATCAGCAACGGCCTCTGGTGCAGCCACTCCAGTGGGACCCTGCAGCTCAAGGGCTGTGGCAGCAAGGAGGTGAGTAAGGCTGAGGGGCACTGCGATGCAGGGTGGCGCTGAAGGTGCCCCTTAGGGAGTGGGGCAGCTGGCTGGTCCCCACCCTCTGGAGGCCCCGCCCAGGCTGGTCTCCACAGGGCCGGTTCGGAGCATCACCTGCTGGATTTCACGAGGCACCATGTTCACTGGTCCAGGTCGGGCTCATTTGCTGCCTGGCAGCACCATGCTGCTGGATCCCACCAGGCATAGGCAGACACTGGGGTACAAGGGGGCGGCCCCTCTGGACTGAACTGAAGGTGGGGGGGTCTCCTCTAAACCCCTTTCTACCTGGATAGCTGGGCTACCAGTTCTGCCCAAAGAGGCAGGAGTAAAGCCTCACTGAAAGTCTGGGCAGGCACTTTGGGGCCTGGGCTTCTGGCCTTGGCACCCGTTGTCCTTGAAATGGAGGGAGCCACAAGTGCTCTCCATCCGGCCTGTCCTTGCCATGGCCATGTGCACGCAGGGTGGGGTGACCTGGCGCTGTCATCCTGTTCCTGAGATCATCCGCTCCGCCTTCCAGCTCAATTCTAGACATGGCAGTGAGTGCCCCAAGGTGGCACAGCAGGCTGTGGGCACTCTCCTGCCCGAGCTGAGTGTGTGTGTATATGGGGGGCTGGGGGCCAAACCTCCATAAACACCAATCCCAGGCATCCTCAAGCAGTGAGCAGCCGCAGCGCCCTGGGCAGGGCAGGGAAGCCCCGATTCATTACCAAGATGGAAAATGACACTTCCCTTGCGTTCTGCCCCAGGAGAGGGGCTGATTTATGACTGCGCCAGGGCTGGGACATCCGTCAGCCCAGCGCAGCGCGCACGCTGTCTGCGGGGGCATTAATAGCCGTGTTATTAGCCACCGGCGTGAAAGATGCCCTGCGGATGGGCTATTTGCTGTTATTTATTATAAAGGCGCGCCAGCCGGCAGGCAGCAGGCCGAGAGGCACTGAGCCGGGCTCGGCCCATGCCCCGCCATCCTCCTTCCTCCTCCTGCTATCCCTGCACTTGTCCCCTCCTTCTAGCCCCAAGGAGGGGCCGGGGGTAATTGCTCAGCAGAGGGAAGCAGCTGCCAGAAGACCTAATGGGGAATCTGCTGGGAGGCTCTGAAAAGCAGAAGGGAATAAAATGGGCTTTGGGGGAGACACACCTGTGGGTCCAGGGCAAGTGACCTCAGGTGGTTCCTTTTCCCTCTCTAAGCGCACCTCTCCTCCGGGCACTGGGGCCTAGCCCTGAAGGGCTGTGGTCAGCTGGAAGGGGATAGGATGAGCCCAATGGGTCAGGGGGTTCAAGGGGGGACTTACTGGTGGCAGAAAGCAGCCAGCATGAGGCCCTGCTTAAATGGGACACTCTCCCACCAAGGCCCTGGGAAAGGGTTTGAGAATTCAGTGCCAAGGCCAAAGGAGGTACATGGAGGGGGCTGTCAGTCTCTGCTGGGCCTGACCCTCCCACGTACTGGGCCTTCACCTATAAAAAGCAGACCCATCTCCAAATCCAGGTTAGGGTCCCACAAGGCAGACTCCACGGTGTGTGTACACGAGGGTTGGGCAGGAGGGAGGAGGTTCACCCAGAGGATAGCGGGCGAGCCTCAGATGTTTGGATGCAGTAGGGCTCTCCTGGACAGCTGGGGGTGGAGAGCACTGGACAGCGAGTGCCCAGCTCTCTGACCACCTGTGGCATCAGTCACACCAGTCGCTTTGTCTCTCTTCACAGTTGTGGCCAGGGCATCCCATCAGGATGGCCTCCCAGAACCAGAGACCCAGGGCCCAGCCTCCCTCTCCCCACTGCCCAGCTCTGGCTCTCAGGTTCTGGGGTCTCGTTCGTTCATTCATTCAGCCCATGGTGATGGAGCCCTTTCTGTGCCTGGCTTCCTGCTGGGCACAGATACACCATCGCCTGACTGCAGGCATTTATATCCTAGTGGGGGGAAGAGGCACACAATCAGCTAGTGACCAAGAAAGCGCTGATAAATGGGACAGGAGTGTCCCAGTTGGAACAGAGTCTGCTCCCACCCGGCAGGGAGGCTCCAGGGAGACCCTCTCCTCCTGGCACGGTGCCAGCCCTTTATTTAGGCTCAGTGCCTCATCAGTCACCACCAGCCACTGTGTACCCTGCTCCTCTCTCTGGGCTCCTTGCTGGGGCCCAGGATCTGCTGGGATAGAGGAGCCCAGGAGCAGACACCATGGCCCAGCCGAATCTTGGGGTTTCTCACCAGCCCTGTTGCCATCAGCCTCCCTCTTCCTGCTCCGTGGTCCCCCTTTAGCCACTCTCTCCCCCTTGAAATTCCACAGAGCTTTGGTTTTTTGGTGTTTTTTTTTTTTTTTTTTCTTCCCCAAAAGGAATTAAGTCTCATTCTAGGCAGCTTTACTACCAGTGGACAGAGGCAGAAATATCAGGTGGAAGAATGTCTTATTAAATAATGCCAAACGAGAAAGAAAGAAAACTACTCGTGTCTCCTTCATCCCCCTGTGCTTTCCCAGCCCCACACGGTTTAATATCGAACACTGTTATCAATATAATTAACCTCCTAAGACACAACTTTAAAAGCCTTATTTTTAAAAGTGACTCGCATTCTCTGAAGCTCAGGACATCCTGCCGCCTGGCACTGGCACCGCCCCGACGGCCCACGCGGTTAGTTAGGCGAACTTGCCGTGCATTTTTAGTGGATTTGCATACCTGTCTGCAATTACCATTACCGCCAGCGATAACAGCTGATGCATAATGCATGCAGCATGAAATTAGAAAAATAATTAACTTCAGATTTTAAAAGAATCCCACTTCCGCCCCACCCCCACACATCACAAGTTCTGGGTGTCGTGACTGGACAAGATGAGGGGTGTGGTTGTTTGGGGTGCCGCCCGTGGGAGGCAGACTTCGAGTGTCCTTGGAAGTCACAGCATTCACACCCCCACCCCCGGCACGCAGGATGGGCATCTATCAGGAAGGCTTAGCGATGCCCTCTCATGCAGCTCCCTGCCGCAGCTCAAGCACCGGTCACTGCCCACTGCAACGGCAGCAGCCTCCTCACCCTGAGCGCTGCTCTGCCAGGTGCTGTAAGTAACCTTGATCTTCACGAGAGCCCAGCGAGTGGGTCCTTTATGGCCCATTTTACAGAAGAAGACTTGAGACCCGAGGCCATGCTGTAGCAGGCTGAGGAGCCAGACTGTGCACAGCCGGGGCCCTGGGCTGATGGCTTCGTGGGTGAGAGACTTCCAGGGGAGGGGCTCTCCCTGAACACAGGGTGCAGGTGGACTTTCCCGTAGCCCTACTTGTAGCTGAGCCCCCAGAAGTAGCGGCCAGGTGAGAAACTGCGGGGTCCTGCATTCATTTAAACAGAGGTTTGCTGAGGCCCCAGCACAGAGATGGAGGCTGCCCTGCCATGGGAGCAGGTGAGCCAGGTGGCCTGGCTTGGGAAAGGCCCACAGAATTCCTGCTGAAGGAACGGCACTGCCAGAGACCCCACCAGAGACTGGAACAAGGCGGGAGCTGGAGGAGCCAGGGGTCTGCAGCAGCTTCCTGTCAATGCCCAGCCACCCTGCAGCCAAGTCCCTAAGGATCTGCCCAGCTGGGGGGCAGCAGCTCATAGCCTTGACAGGAGCTGGAGTGGGGGTAGACAATGGCCTCTACTATGTGGATGCAGAAATTCTGCATCCACTTGAGTATGTTTGTGCTTTCCTGCAAACATGTCACAGGTGCAGTCTGAGAGACACCCTCCCACTCCAGTGATGGGGCAGCTGAAGAAAAAGGACCTAGGCCAGGAGTCACAAGGATAGTGGCTGTGTCCTTGCTGGCCTCAGGAAGTTCTGGCCCTGCAGGGCCAGGTTTTGCAACAGCCAGGAGGCTGCTGCTGGCTTCCCAGCACAGGCCGAGCAGCAGGCACAGGCTCCATAAAACGGCTCCAAGATTCCAGATGTGTAAGGCCACTGAGCTCCTGGTCCCTGACTGTCCCCCAAGCCTAGGGAACCAGGAGAGCCTGCAATCTCCTCCACCCCCGGGTGGACCACAAGGGGGTTCTACACCGCACAGCTTGGGAAGCACTACAGAGGGTGGGGAGAGAAGCAGGGAAGAGTCTTGGGATGTCGAGTGGGACATAGGAATGTCATGGAGAAGGTCAGGGGAGGACCTGGACACTTATTCATATGCCAGGGTGGGAAGGCCCAGGTCCACCAGTGGAGCTTGCCTGGTCACTGGGTGAGAGGTCCACCCAGACCCCAAGCCTAATTTGGAGGCACTGTGGGAATGGACCGAGGATTGACCTTCTAGGAGCCCTGGACAGGGCTTCAGGGCTGGTGGGACCTCAGGCCCAGCCACTGCATCTACTGACAGAAGGGGACGAGGCAGGTCAGAGAGGGAAAGGCCTCGCCCCAGAACACAGCAGCTTCTGTGCAGCAGATGACCAGGAGCTGCACCAGGAAGGTCACAAGTGTGATCCCAGAGTAGGTGACTTAACAATTTAATGCGATCATTTCTCAAAGTTAAACAATTTTTAAAGGGCTCGGCATTGGGCAGCCATGGTGGTGCATGCCTATAATGAGCTTAGGAGGTTGAGGCAGGAGAATGGTGTGAGTTTGAAACCAGTCTAGGCTACATAGTAAGTTCAAGTCCAGCCTGAACTAAATAATGAGACCTTGTCTCAAAACAACAATCAAACAAAAAAGGCTGAGCACACAGCTCTGTAAGAAGATCCTGGGTTCCATCCTCAGTACCACAAAAAGGGATGATGGGGTGGGAGGCGCAGAAGTTAACACAGACGCTAAATAGGTATGGTAGGGTGTGGGTGGGGACACCCAGAGAACTAGAGCAGTTTTTAAACTCTGCATGCAGGACACACAGGTTGATCTTTCCAGGTGTTAGTCTGCAAGTATAATCTCACTGCTTCTCAATTGTAGAGGCAACCATAGTGACCACACTATGTTCAGGCAAGGGCACTGCAGCTCAGAGACAGTCACACAGACAGAAGGGGCGGAGGCAGGCCCTGAACCCAGGACTCTGTTCCGGAAGCCAGCAGGAGCCAGTTATTAAAACGATGTCCAGAATGATGTCCAGGCCACCTGGAGATAAGGGGGGAGGTCCTGATCACCACCTGCCTGAGCCCCTCATTGCTCCCATTGCTGCCTCTTCCAGCGGTGCCGAGGAGGATCCTGCTGTCGGTCACGGCGCTGGCTGGTCGTCACTTGCACCCTGCTGGAGTCTGCAATATCTGTGCCACGATGACAAGTGATCCCGTAAAAGATAGGCAATTTACCAGGTTTAATTTGATGGCCACATAAACTATCAAACACACAACAAGGAAATAAAAAGGCCACCAGGCACCCGGACAATTAAAAGCTCCTCTGAGGCGTGCTGTCTCCCTCCCTGCCTCTGTGGGCCCTGTTCCCAGAGCCAGAGGACTGGCCTTGAGGAAGGGGGTGGCAGGAGAGACACAGGCCAAGATGGATGCGCCAGCAGACAGGGGACCGGAAAGGCCTTGGGTCCCTGCCTCCCAAACGCTTCTCTGTTATCCATCAAGCATCTCTGAAAGGTGCAATTTAGACTCTATTATGATGCTGGGCCTCTGGAGGCTGGGGACTGGCCGTGAGCTGAGCTGGTGCTGGGAACAGATGTCCATGCCAGAATGCAGTGGCTGGCCGTGGCTTGGCCTTAACAAGCCTGGCCCCTGCTAAAGGCAGAGGCCGCTGTGTCCCCCGTGCCAGATGCAGAGCTGAAAGGCCAGAGGTGTGTGTTCTCTGGTTGGAAGCAAGGCCTGGGTAGAGGTGTCCCTGTGCTTGGACCCCAGAGAGCAAGGCCAGGTGACCCCTGAGCAGACCTGTGTCTTCCTGTCCCCAGCACCTGCCCTGCTCCATCTGCCTCCTTCATGAGCTACTGGAGACAGGGCCTCAGGGCTCTGTGACCTTCACGGTCCTGGCTCCGTGCAGAAGGAACAGCTGGGCAGCTGGGAGCCCGGGCTGGCTGGGTCTTTGAAGGCCCCTCACCTCTCTGAGCCGTGGGGACCAAGTGAGCACCTGTGTGACATGACGGACCACTGCCTGGGAGGAGGAAGTGGATGCGGCCTGAACTGAGGTTCTCCCCAGTGCCTGGGTCCCTCCCTGTCCTCTGAAGGCTGGGAAGGACCCCACACTGCCCTCTGCTCCCCTCAAACCTGTCCTGACCCACGGTCTCTGAGGTGATCAGGTGAGGGCTGGGCAGCCTGTGACCCCCACCTCCTTCACTCTACTGGGACCACAGGCAGGCAAAGCGGGCGGCGCTACCTCGAGGACAAGAGGGCCCTCAGCCCCGTGGTCAGGGCCAGGCAGGCTGGGGGCAAATCCAAGCTCCCCCACCTCCTGCCTCAGGACCACAGCAGGCCTCTCTGCCTCAGTTCCCTCCTTTACAGACTAGGTCAGGAACAGTTTCTCAAACATACTTAGAAAACATCTGCTGCGTGTCAACGGATGGGCTGAGTCCAGTGGAGAAGACACCCCAAACCCATGCCTTTATACCACCTGCCTTTCTTTCTTTTGCAGTACTTGAGATTGAACCCAGGGCCAGTCTACCACTGAGCAACATTATACTCTTGTTTACTATATATGTGTGTGTGTGTGTGTGTGTGTAAAATATATATATATTTTTTTTAATTATCATTTTGTTTTTATATTCTGAGACAGGGCCTCATTAAATTGCTCAGGCCAGCCTAGAACTTGGGATCCTCCTGCCTCTGCCTCCTCCCAAGTTGTTGGAATTACCGGTGTACACCACCATACCCTGCTTCAGACAAATTTTTTTTTTAAATGGAGCAGCGCAGTAGTTGGTGGTAAATACTATGACAGAAGCAGTGTTTTGGGGTCAGGGTTTTGGGTTTTACTTTGGTTTTCTGAGATACAGTCTCAGTTTATAGTTCAGGTTGTCTTTGAACTCACTTTGTAACCCAGGCGGGTCTAGCAATCCTCCTGCCTCAGCCTCCAAAGTCCTGGGATTAGAGATGTATGCACGCACAGCTGGGGTCATGATTTTGCATAGCGTGGTCAGGGAAGGCCTCACTGAAGGTGGGGAGGCAGTGAGTGGGTGGATCTGGGATGAGCTCCAGGCAGAGGCAACAGCATGTGCAAGGGTCCAGGTGCTATTGCAATGAGGGAGGAGTATAGTGGACAAGGCCACTGGGGTGCTGCAGCAGGTCCCATGGGGCCTTGACAGCTACTGAGATGTTTGTACAAGGCTCTGAACAGATATAAAGAATTTACCAGGTGACTCTGGATGCCCAGGACGGGGCGCAGGGCTCGAGAAGGTGTTGAAAGAGATGCAGAGGAGAGTGCCAAGCAGCCCTGCTGGGACCAGCTGGCGTGCCAAGGGCTCAGACAGGCATCACCAAGGAAGCAAAGGCAACAGCCAAATCCTAAGGCCAGGCATGGCGCAGTTTCCTGCCCACCACAAAACTGACCAGGGAAGGTGCTCTGGGCCTGCAGGAGCAGGGCAGCTGGGTCAGATCCAGGGCCTGGGCAGAGAGTAAGGAGGCGGCAGGCAGGCAGGCAGGTGTCCTTGGCCCTGGGCCAGTCAGCCCGGGCAGGAGGGGCCTGAGTGTCCCAGCTCCCTGACCTCTGCTCTCCTTGAGACGCGCCTCATCCCCCACATCCTCACTAGGTTCCAGCCAGGGTGGCGCTGCCTGGTCCTCAACCTGCCCTCGTCCACCTCACAGACCTCAGGTCACCAGGGCCCATGTGAGGCCCGTGCATTGGCCTGGGCAAATCCCGGGCTCAAGGAGGCCTTGGAGCTGTGAGAAAACAGAGAAGCTGAAGGCACAGGAATGGCCCACTCTGTCCTCAGGTGTCACTAATGTCACAGCACACTAGACCCACGCAGGCCACAGTCCCTACCCATAAACACCTGCAGTTTAATCAGGGGTATTAAAAACCATCACCCACCCGAGTGTCCCTCTGCCCATGGACAGCCACAAGCTGCTAGTGGCCAAGACTCTGGCTTGTGCCCCAGACAGGCTGGCTTCCTCCTCACTGCTTTTCAAGTGGCCTTGAGTCGTCGAGTGTTGCCCAGCTGTGGTTTTCTTGTCTGTTACATGGTACGAGAGGGCACCAAGCTCACATTGCTGGAGCATTACAAAGAACAGGCTGATTAGTTTGAACATCGATCCCACTAAAACAGGATGCTAGGGGCCGGTACACACTGGATGCTCAGTAAAGACCAGGTGGATAAATGGACAGACAGATGCATGGATGGGTAGATGGCTGGGTGGATAGACAGAAGGTGGGTGGACAGGTGGGTAGGCAGCGCATGGACAGGTTGGAAGGTAGATGGATAGAGGCTGGATAGGTAGTTGAGAGGGAGGGTAGATGCACAGATGGACTAATGGATGGACTGATGCATGGAAACTCTATCTGGGACATCTGGAAGACCTAGCAGAGGAGGGGACATTTGAACTGGGTCCTGAAGGATGAAGAGGAATTTCTGGATGGAGAGGAGAAGCCCAGGAATAGAGAAGGACAGCGAAGGGAGAGTGGTTTGGCATGATTGAGAAATGGAGGCACTCAGTTACCGCGCCATGAGAGTGAGGTCCCCAAGGCTCCTTCAGTGGGTCCAGGCTCCACTCTGTGCTACCGGGCTGCCCTCTCGGGCTGCGGCCTCCCCTCGGTCCCCGCGGCCTTGTGTTCCATCATCAAGGCCTTCACGGCCCCACTCATGTACCAGACCTTTGCCAGTGGCATGAAAACATTTTCCCTGCTGAGGCTGAAACATATTTTCCTTTAATTGATTATTTTTATTTTTGCCACTATGAACAGTAAAGTAATATGAGAAAAATCTATGCTGCGATTTTTCTATTTGTGAAAACTGAAATTACACCTTGCAAATAATTCCCTCAGAGTGCAGACAACACCTCCCTCCCCTTTTATTTGTCTCATTTCTTTAAATGCAACGATGCTGATGCCTATATATATATATATATATATATATATTTTTTTTTTTTTTTTTTTTTTTTTTTTTTTTTTTCTGGAATTGCTGGAAGTTTCATGTCTGGGGATGGGAGTGAGGTGCCAAAGTTTCCCACACAGCATGGAACATCGAGCTAGGAACGGCGCCTCTGATACAAAGCAAGTTCTGTAAATATATGATAAGGCAGCTCTGTGGACACCTCCTTCTTCTGTCTGCAGAATGTACGAGTGACAAACAGGCAGTAGTGTTTTACCACCAGACAATGAAGCCCTGCATCCTCTAATGCTCACCACTGGTGACGCTGGCAGCTCCCCATGGTTCCAGTGCCATGGATGCCTCTTTTTTTTTCTTTTGTCTTTTTCCTTTTTATCGGTAACCAGGGATCGAACTCACGACCCCACACTTGCAAGAAGGTGCTTATGCCGCTGAGCTAAATCCCCAGCCCCCATGGATGCCTCTTTTCTGAGCTCGATGGCTTTCCAAGAGCGAGCTTTGCCTTCAGACCCTGGGCCTGTGCCAGAGAGCAATGTGGGTTCAGAGAACTGGGGCTCTGAGTCCATACAATGCACCCTAAATCCACCCCAGCGCATCTAGGATAAGCCACACACAGGGCTGAGAGGTGGAGTCTGGGCAGGAACAGCCCAAAGCACAGCCTGGCTGGCAGGTGGGCCTGTGATCCCTCTGGACCGCCGTCCTTGACTCATCCTCATTGTCCCTGTCTTGTGCTCCTTGCAGGTGCCAAGGCTCCACGTCAGGTGGTGTCAGGCTCCCGCAGCCATCCACCATGGTGGTAGTACACCCCACCACCACCGCCACTGCCACGCCCACCGCGACCATCACAGCCACCGTTGTGATGACCACGGCCACCATGGACCTACGGGACTGGCTGTTCCTCTGCTATGGGCTCATCGCCTTCCTGACGGAGGTTATCGACAGTACCACGTGCCCCTCTGTGTGCCGCTGTGACAATGGCTTCATCTACTGCAACGACCGGGGTCTCACCTCCATTCCCGCCGACATCCCTGATGACGCCACCACCCTTTACCTGCAGAACAACCAGATCAACAATGCTGGCATCCCCCAGGACCTCAAGACCAAGGTCAACGTGCAGGTCATCTACCTGTATGAGAACGACCTGGACGAGTTCCCCATCAACCTGCCACGCTCCCTGCGGGAGCTGCACCTCCAGGACAACAACGTGCGTACCATTGCCAGGGACTCCCTGGCCCGCATCCCGCTGCTGGAGAAGCTGCATCTGGACGACAACTCCGTGTCCACCGTGAGCATCGAGGAGGACGCCTTCGCGGACAGCAAACAGCTCAAGCTGCTCTTCCTGAGCCGCAACCACCTGAGCAGCATCCCCCCTGGGCTGCCGAACACACTGGAGGAGCTGCGGCTGGACGACAACCGCATCTCCACCATCCCACTGCATGCCTTCAAGGGCCTGCACAGCCTGCGGCGCCTAGTGCTGGACGGCAACCTGCTGGCCAACCAGCGCATTGCCGATGACACCTTCAGCCGCCTGCAGAATCTCACCGAGCTCTCGCTGGTGCGCAACTCGCTGGCCGCCCCGCCCCTCAATCTGCCCAGCGCCCACCTGCAGAAGCTGTACCTGCAAGATAACATCATCAGCCACATCCCCTACAACACTCTGGCCAAGATGCGGGAGCTAGAGCGGCTGGACCTGTCCAACAACAACCTCACCACGCTGCCCCGTGGCCTGTTTGATGACCTGGGCAACCTGGCACAGCTGCTGCTCAGAAACAACCCCTGGTTCTGTGGCTGCAACCTCATGTGGCTGCGGGACTGGGTGAAGGCCCGGGCGGCCGTGGTCAACGTGCGGGGCCTCATGTGTCAGGGCCCGGAGAAGGTCCGGGGCATGGCCATCAAGGACATCACCAGTGAGATGGACGAGTGCTTTGAGACAGGGTCGCAGGGTGGTGTAGTCAACACGGCTGCCAAGACCACAGCCAGCAACCATGCCTCAGCCACCACGCCCCAGGGCTCACTGTTCACCCTCAAGGCCAAGAGACCGGGGCTACGCCTCCCTGATTCCAACATCGACTACCCCATGGCCACGGGCGATGGCGCCAAGACTCTGGTCATCCAGGTGAAGCCCCTGACAGCAGACTCCATCCGAATCACATGGAAGGCAACGCTGCCCGCCTCTTCCTTCCGGCTCAGCTGGCTACGCCTGGGCCACAGCCCTGCAGTGGGCTCCATCACAGAGACCCTGGTGCAGGGGGACAAGACGGAGTACCTGCTCACGGCCCTGGAACCCAAGTCTACCTACATCATCTGCATGGTCACCATGGAGACTGGCAACACCTACGTAGCCGATGAGACACCCGTGTGCGCCAAGGCGGAGACGGCCGACAGCTACGGCCCCACCACCACCCTCAACCAGGAGCAGAACGCAGGCCCCATGGTAGGGCTGCCCCTGGCAGGCATCATCGGCGGGGCTGTGGCCCTCGTCTTCCTCTTCCTGGTCCTGGGGGCCATCTGCTGGTATGTACACAGGGCTGGGGAGCTGCTGACCCGGGACAGGGCCTATAACCGGGGCAGCAGGAAAAAGGATGACTATATGGAATCTGGGACCAAGAAGGATAACTCTATCCTGGAGATCCGAGGCCCTGGGCTGCAGATGCTGCCCATCAACCCATACCGCGCCAAAGAGGAGTACGTGGTCCACACCATCTTCCCCTCCAATGGCAGCAGTCTCTGCAAAGGCACGCACACCATCGGCTACGGCACGACGCGGGGCTACCGGGACGGGGGCATTCCTGACATCGACTACTCCTACACATGACGCCGGCCCCCCAGCCCCAGCCCCCAGCCGCTGTCCCAAGTGGCACCCAGCTCTGCCCAGCCCACTGCCATCCCAGAGAGCAAGGAAGGGAAACTGATTCCATGATGACTCTCCCAGCAGAAAGCAAAGTTGGAGAAAGGTTGATGATTTTCTAGAACATATTAGTGGGAGGGGAAAAACTTTTTTTTTTAAGGAATAGAAGGCAGGAAGAGGAAGCTGATGTTGTTGGAGACATAATTTATCCCAAGTGATGCCAACTGGGGAGGGAAGAACTAAAATAATACTGAAGGAAGGGTTGGGTTGGGCACTTTTTTCTCCTAAACTGGAAAGATACTACCTGTACAACGTCCGTGTACACCTCACACTCTGTTTGGGGCCGTCACAAAAAAACCATCAGAGAAAAGCCACCGACACGAAGGCCCCCCCCCCCAGCATCCTGCTGCCAGCTGCTCACAGCAAAGATGCGATGGAAGGTTTTCAGGTGCCTCACAAAGGAGAGAGGCAAAGAAAAGATCTTTTGCTATGGAGCTACTGCCCTGAAACCTCTTCCCTGGTTCTTTCCATGCCATTTCCCTGACAGATTTGCAGAAAGAGAAAAAGTCTTTCAGTGCATTCTTGGAACAATTAATGTAGTCAATTAAAAAGAAAAAAAATCGAACTTTTTTTCTTCCTCTGCTGAGCGCTCTCCAGTGCCGCGTGCACCATCCTCCGTAGAAGCCCAGACGGAAGCCGTAGCTTTCCCTGCCACATGGAGGTGCGTCTGTCTGCCCGTCTGTCTCTGTGTCCTGTCTCTCAGTGCAGATGGGTAGATAGAGCTGAGTACACTGTCCTTACAGCACTCCCTGGGTCAGTTCTTACCATTTTCTGAGACAATAGAGTTGAAAAAAAAAAAAAAAACACCAAGGATTGCTTCCTCCTAGAAATCACTGAGTGAGTAGCCCACGTGTCAGGGGTGGTAGGGAGTCAGGTGGACGGGGGTGTTGCTGTTCCTGGAGGCAGAGGCCTGCACATCCCAGGCAAGGTGGCTCAGGGAGGGCCAGAGCTGGGCCACTGTCCTTTCCGATGCAAGAGAAAAGCTTTCTCTGGACACCCAGGGCCCTCCTTCTTCTCTCCGACAGATGCAGTCACCACAGTGGGTTTACTTGTGCTTCCTCCTGGATAGGTAATTAGTGCAGGGACTTTTTTATAACCATATATATGCATCAGCTGATTAGACCTTTTGGTTTCCATGGCTGCTCAAACAAAGCCCAGAAAACGAAAATTTTCAGAAAATCCTTGGGAGAGAGCAGCCCTCACACACACACACACACACACACACACACACACACACACACACACACCAGTGTAGAAAACAGCCATGCCCGCTCCTGAGGAAACTGGATCGCTTTCTAAAAATGCCAGCCTCCAAAAGAGTTCCAACCAGGGCCCTCAGAAGAGCTAAGATTTTATTTTCTCCCTCTGGAATCAATGTCACTATCATTTATCAACTGACAGTGCAGTGTGGCGAGCCATGAGATGAAAACGATGATGAAATAATGAAGCAGATCTGGAAAGGAGGGAAGTGTGGTGCCTGGGGTTCCGACGGCTGCTGCATCCTGTACTCCGGGAGCTGGGGGTCACCATCTGTCAATGCGTCTCTTGCCCCGCACCAGGAAAAGACGACATCAAAGCAGAGGCACTGCTCCAAGGGCAGGAGGATGAGGTCTGCTGCTGGCAGTGGCGTTTTCAAAAAGCCTCTGCCACTTGGACCAAAGCAAAGGCAGGAAGAGGCCGGGCATCGGTCACAGGGCTGCCTGCAACGTGCCCAAGCGCTGCCCGCCTGTTGGACATTCAAAGAGCCAACTGACCCTTCAACGAAGAGGTGGGTTGAAAGCAACGCTCCCGCCACTGCTGGGGGGAAAAGCGGAGAGAGGCGCAGGCTTCCATCATGGCCTAGGGATGTCACCAGCAAGGGGGCCCTGGCTCTCCAGCCCCGAGGCATGGCCAAGGGGTATGGACACTGCTCATTCTAAATGACCTTTTTCCCTTCACCTGCCCGGATTATTTTCCCACACAGTGAGGTCCAGAAGAAATTTTCCCAAGCCTTAATTTCCAGTCTGTATCAATGTGCCCCTCCCCGCCCCTCGCCAGCCGCCTTAGCTGCAGCCCTATCCCTGGTGGCTCAGGAAGGAGCAGAGGGGACCCTCATGCATACCACGGAGACCTGGCAGGAGGAGTGCGCAAGCCGGGGGCACTGGCCAGGGGATGGATGTCCCAGCTCTCTGTTGTTTCTAGAGTGAGGTCCCCTCCCTCCAGGGTGCCACTCTAGCCTCTCCAGGTTCCAGAAAGTCAGCCCAGCCTTCCCCCTACCCTAAGGCATCTTGCCTGCTTCCTCCCACCAGCACACCCTGTCCTCTAGCTCACCTGAGTCCCCCTTCTCCTTTGCTGCCCCAGGGAGCATCAAGCCATCCCTTTGGTGGCAAGGAAGGAACTTAGGGACATCTGGTGCCCTGGACCCTGACTGTGGCCTTGGTGGTGCACTTTCGGGCCCCGTCACACAGCAGGCCCAGGCCCGCAAGAGCGCTGCCAACTGCTCAGGCACAGTGCCCAGGCCGAGCACCGGATCGCTCCCCCGCATGGGCTTGTTGCTCTAACAGGGCTCAGCCCAGCTCAGTGAGGGCTGGGAAGCCCAGGTCCTGCCTGTTCCTCATGGGACCACCCACCCCTCAGCAGTGACTCTGAGCCAGGGAAGGTGAGAACTCTGCCAGCCAGAGGCCTGGGCCCCTCTGCAAGCTCTTCTTGTCTTTTCTGTCTCTCGGCATCCCAACATTTAGCAGGGCCCTTCCTGAGAGGAAGCTGCCAAAATCTGCTTCATGGTGGCCCCCAAATCAGGTCGCTCTCTGAAACCCGTGCCCCCCCGGTCCAGCTCCTCCAAGCTAGCCTCTTAACACAAGAGGGAAGCGGTTCAGGGCGCACAACCTCCCCCTCTTAGAAGTGTGCAGAGCCACCAGCCCAGCAGTGATACCCCCAGGGGCCATGAAAGCCGCTCTCTGTGCGTGGGGACCCTCCACGTTCCCCCTTGAAGGTCTGCCACCAACCTGACCCTCACAATCTCTAACCAGCCAGAACAATCTCAGCGCCCTACACAATGGTGAGTGTATTTTGTGGCATTAAAGGCAGGTTTAAGGTTTAAAAAAAAGAAAAGGCCCGTGACACTTCTTTGGTTAAGTGGTTTTATCCTTCGTGGTAATTAGATGTAGCGATTGGAATCTCTTTTCTATTACATGGCAATTTTCCTTTAAATTTCCTCTTAAAAAAAAAAAAAGGAAAGAAAGAAAAGGCAAAAAAGGGGAGAGAAGGCAGCAGGGCTGTGTGTCATTTGCATTTTGCGAATGAGGCCTCTTGTAAGCTCAGCTCAGGCGTGGGGCCCAACGTATGGAATGCTTAAGAGATTACTAAGAATAAAATCTATTAATTAGTCATACTCAATTCCACAGACATGATGTGCATAAAAGCTCCTTTTCTTCCCTCTTCTGCTTCCCCCTTCTCGCGGAAGCCTCCATCTTCACTGAAGGGGCTCTGTTTCCTGGCCCGCCTCCATGTTGACATGGCGCCCACCCTGCAGGGGCTGGGAGCTGGGGCACCGCTTCTCCTGCACTCTGGCTGACACCCGCAGCGGAAGAGGCAGCCCCTGGGTCTATGGTGGTGGCAGAGAGGGGCCGGCCTTCCTTCCCAAAAGCCCTTGTCTACCCAGAGGCCCTCTTTCCCTCTCTGCAAGCACCATATTCCCAAAGAGGGTGACGGGGACTCAGGAAGTATGTCTGTCTGTCTAGCAGACACCAGGCCTCTTGTTTCCCCTTGTGTAAAGCAGGGACATCCTGGGGTGAGCTCTGGTTTCATCTTGTAAGAAAGCTGGATGCCTCAGAGGCCAAGGCGAGCCTCCCCTTCCCTGACTCTGGAGGGACAGGTGAGGAAACCCCCGCAGGGCCTGAGACGCCCTGTGCCCAGGCTGGCCTGGCCTGGGCCTCCTCCACCAGCGGCCAGGCAGGAGGGAGCAGAAGTCTGGGACACACTCAGGATACCATCCCATTCCAGCGTCCCATGAGTGGCAGCTCAAGTCCCAAAGTCAACCCACTCCAGAGATCTGCTTCCTGCTGAGTGTGCCAGGGAGGAGGATGGGGCTTCTGAGCCTCTGGCTTATGAAAAATACAACAGGAAGATGGGATGCTGCAGTTGGGGAGCAGTGGGGCTGTAAGGGAACCAGGAGAGGTGGGGCAGGAAGGTGGGGCTCAGCAGGGTGCAGCAGCCTGTGCCCCCCAGGGCCAGACCATGCCCTTGACAGCCAGGCCAAAGCTGCAGCCAGCGTGACCTGCAGGGACCCCACATGCCACATCCCCTGCTGGCGCTGAAGTGAAGGTGGCCGATGCCCTGCGCTGGACGGGTGCCAGGGTGAGTGCTAACAAGCAATTCACAGGCCTTCCAGAAAGCAGAGACAGGAGGCATTTTTTTTCTTAAGGAGGGATAAAAAGCCTCAAAAATGCAAATCATTACCATTTACAACCAAGCGAATCTGCTAAATTGATTAGGAGAGATTAAACTTCTCAGAGGTGAAGGGAAGGGGGGTTTCTTGTGGTCGGTGGAGCTGCCCCAAGTGGCCATCCAGACAGCAGGGATCTCCCAGGCCTGGTTAAGGCTGGGACACCTGTCCTGCATCTCCCCCTGGGGAGCAGGGGTCTCTGAGGGCTGACACCAGGTGGCCCAGGCCTCTAGGCCAGAACGGGCTGCTGCTCACACAGGCGGACGCTCTGGCCCTGCCCTCCAGAATCCATCTGCCTCCAGGAGTGACGAGCCGCCCCTCGGTCAGTGCCATCACCCAGCCGTAGTGGTGGCGAACCTATGGCATACATGCCACAGATAGCTGCTGGCTATCACAGAAAGCTCTATGAGATTTGCCATCACTGAGCAAGTCCGATACCCACTGTGAGACCTGAGCCTATGGCCAGGGAAAGGGTAAGCCCAGGGGTGGAGGGAGACTGAAGACAGAGATGAGAAACCCTGGTCCATCAAAGGAATCAGATGGTGAGCTCCCGCCCTGGGAGCAGCCAAGCTCTAGATGGGCATGCGGCAGATACCTTCCTGCCCAAGCTGAGGTCTTTGACTGAAAGATCCTGGGTCTCGTCTTTACTTTCTCTCACTGCCCCCATCCCCACCGAGGAGAGGAGATAGAGCCACGGGCCGCCCCTTGGCACCCGGGCTGCTTGCTGGTTCTGTTCCCCAAGCCCAGTCTGGCCACAGATGTAACTGACTCCGCAGCGCAGCACCAAACCTTCCATCACGACCAGCTGACAGCGCCTGGGGCACTGTTCGCTCCGAGGGTTTTAAGCATTTACCGATTCTTTTGAAATGTTCCAAGTAGTTGCCTGAAATATCTACATTGGCTTCTTTTTAAAAACTGACAAAAAAGATTGCTTTTGCTCCCCACCCCATCTTGGCTGTCCCCGCCTCTCTTGGCTTTTTAATACACGGTGATTCTGTGCTTTGGGAAATCCCGTTATTCCTGTTCTTCCTGGGAAGGCAATGTGCCCAGAGACCCTGGTATCACAGCGGTAGAGTCCTGCCACTCTCCCTTTCCCCTGGGACACCACAACCTGGGCTCCGAGAGGCCATCTCACTGCCCTCCACCCCTTGTCACTCAAGTATCCAGAGGAGGCACTGGGGGCACTGTGTGCCCCAGTGCCAGGGCCGACCCCCTATTTCCTACAAGGCCAGTTCCCAAGACACTGAAGCCACGTGGCAGGCAGGGCAGCCTGGCCCTGGCCACCCACCCTAGAGAGTCTTTGCAGGAAGATCTTTATTGCCGCCAGCCCTAAATCTCTTTTATGGTCATGGGGGAAGGTCACTCTGGAGAGATGCAAGTCACTCTGGTCCCTAGACTCGGTGGGCCCCAGGTTTCAGCACCTGCCTCATCAGGATCCCTGGGGCCCGGCTCAGCACCTGGTGCACTGGGATGCAGTCTCTTCTTCCCCAACTGAATGAGCCACCACCTCCTCTTCCTCACCAGCTGCCTTCTACCCACTGGACTCCATGCAAATGGCCTGAGTGTTGGCAACCAACAGCCTTTCATCCTATACCTGCCAGGCTTGTGGCCTGGCACAGAGGAGGCTGTTGGGGCACCTTGCCCTCTCGGAAGCATCCAACTCCGCTTATACCCACTATGAGCCTGATGGGGAAGTGCCGATTAGGTGAGATCCCACATGTGGCCTCAGAGCAAATGTGTGCCTCAGTTTCCCCTCTCCAAGTCTTGCTTCCAGTGGGTGCAGGGAGCCAGAGAACTGGAGGGCAGCTCCAGAGGACAGCAGGAAGGAAGATCCCGGATGATGCCCAACTTGCCTGATGTTCCACTAAGAGTCCACAAGCCCAAGCCCAAGACACTTGGAGGAACTTAGCAGCACCCCGCCTCAAGAAAAGCAAACACACCGTGAACCGACAATCACCATGGCAGTGCCTCAGGTCACCCCACTGGCGGGGTCAAAGGTTCTGGGCACAGAGGGGAAAGACACACATCTGTGAGAGTAGCCTTAGATTCCCCCCGACCCAGCACCACCACCTGCCAGCAGCCTCAGCTGAGAAGCCCACCTGGCGTCCAGGGCAGAGTGTGGGGAAGATGGCCCTGTGTTTTCCAGCTCACGGAGGAGGCAGACAGCCGTGGGGAGGAAGCCGAGGGCCTGGCACTGGAGCCTTGTCAGTCTCCTGAGAAGGGGAAGCCAGGAGATGTGGGGATGGAAGGTTGGGCAGGAGTGGGCAGGCTGGCTGGGCGCAGTGTGCTGGCTCGGTCTGCTGGCTGCAGCCACCAGGCAGGTGTGAGCAGGAAGCCCAAGGGTGAACGACCCCTAGGAGGACCCAGGTCCAAACACCACTGCAGAGTGAATGTTCCACCTACACCCAACCAGAGTTCCGTCCAGATGTTCCTAGGGAGTCTGGACTCATTTGGTCTCATGAAGCATCCTGGGGTACATGCTCAGTATGACCCCCTTCCCAGCAGTCCAAGGGGGAGGAGGAGGCAGAGTGGAGTCCTTGGCAGGACCACAATGAATGGGGTGTTCTTCTGCTTTAGCGGGTAGGGCGCCAGCTCAGCAGATGACACTGGAGCATAGAGGGGACAAACCTGGGCTCCCTAGTCTGTGGCCAAGGTGCCTTCTGCTCTCCAAGGGGTCCCTGCCTCAGCACCCTCAGCTCCCTAAATCCCCTGGCTGTTCCAGCCTGCGGAATCAGGCCCATAGGGCCATGTGGCTGCAAGCGTCTTGTCTCTTTTCCTTCTCTCTGAAGGGCAATCTTGGGGGGGGCACTGAGTGACGGACCTCCCCCGCTGCTCCTGCCGACATCTGAGACCAGGCTGGCTCCATGAGCTGGCTCCTAGGGGCCAACCAAGCCTGGCCTCGTGCCCGCCTGCCGCACTCCCAACCTCACCACCAGACTGGGGTTTTCGGAAAACCAAGACACAAACACCCACCACGACAACAACACAAACCAAAGTGCACTGCGAACCGCCCTTTGGCCTCCTTCTTGTAGGTGCCTTGAAAACTTCACTGTTGAGATGAATGTGACTAACTACTTGTTCCTATTTTCTGTTTGTCTGTTTTCATATAAAATGTCTAAGTCCACCTGCCTTGTCTTTTCTTGAAATAAACAGAAAGATTTAACTTTTACAGTTGTCTCGACTGCTGACTCTCAGCTCGTCAGACCTACTCACCGAGGCTCAGGGACCTGTGACACTGAGGTCTCAGCTGTCCAGACCTCAGCTCTGAAGTCCCTCTGCTGTTGGGGTCTGCTGGCATGGGGTGTTGGCCAGGCAAAGTGGACATGCTGGGATTGTAAATTCCCTGGAGCATGATGGGAACGCCTGCAATCCCACCAACGCAGGAGGCTGAGGCAGGAGAATTGCAAATTTGAGTCCCCTAGACAACTTACTGACAGCCTGCCTTGTAGAATTTTCAAAAGGCAACCTGGGTACAGGAAAGTTCAAGGGCAGCCTGGACTACACACTGAGATCCTGTCTAAAAAAACAATAGTAATGACAATCAGGGGTTGGGAATGTAGTTCAGTGCGAGAGTGCTTAACCTACATTCTCAAAGCCCTGGGCTCAATCTCTCCAGTACCACAAAAAAAAAAAAAAAAAAAAAAAAAGGAAAGAAAGAGAAGAGAAGAGCAAATACTGGGCATGGTGGCACATGCCTGTAACCCCAGAGCTCTGAGGGGCTGCAGCAAGAGGACTGCAGGTTCAAGTCCAGCCTGGGCAATTTAGCTACCTAGAGAGACCTCATCTCAAAATTTAAAGAAATAAGAATGTACCACAGCACAAAGTGCCTGGGTTTGAGCCTCAGTACTGGCTGTCACCAGAGGTGTCTTAACCCAGCCATGCAGCTTGGACTGACAGCTGGATGCAGACTCCAAGGGTCTCCACATGGAGACGTATGAATAAAAGCTAAGGATTATCCTGTAAGAGGCTCTGGCAAACATGTGGGCATCCAGATAAGAAACCATCCAGGCACCTGGGGACAGGTGCTTATTCTGCTTCCCCAAAGAACACCCGCCTGGGTTTGTCCCTTCTAGATGCCCCCTGTTCCCTGGACACGCCCACTGTACTCCCGCAGCCTTATCTGTGTATCTCATATTCCAAAAGGCAAGGAGGAGAAAAAAATTACTTCCCATGAGAACAATTGCTGTTGCTGCTAAATTTAACATAAAAAAAAAAAAAAAAGAACTCATTCCTTCCATCTGCTGGGACAGAAGCCAATCACAACCACAAGAGGCCACTCCAAAGAGCAGCATGCTGAGTGACCAGGTGACCGCAAGAGGAGGGAACCATTCTGTTTATCTGAATTCTGCAAAGGGAAGGCCCATAGGTCCTCGGGAGGGCTGACCCGCACTCTCACCTCTGGGACTGCCGAGGAATCTTTCTGGAACGAGGTCAGTCAGGAGATGGGGGGCTGAGGACCTACTCCGTGCCAGGGCAGGGAGGGTACACCACAGCAGGCGCTGACAGCAGAGGTCTCTGGGGAGCCAGGTCTACACGGGGATGTCTCTCTGATGAGGACTCAGAGATTAAGGGAGAGGCTGCCTCCCAGCCGGCCCAGCCTCCGGCCATGCCACAGGCAACTCCCTGGCCACATCCTGCCTCACTCAGCCCTCGAGCCTCCCCCACACAGCCCCTGGAGATTCTCACCTGTGTGGAAACCAGCTCCAGCCCCTCCACCTGGGACCAGCTGTGATCCTGACACCCACAGGGCACCGCCAGGCACACAGGAAGCCCCCCACACACACCATGCACATGAGAAGAGTGTGTCTACAAACAGCCTGAAACGCTGGCCACCCACACGCACAGGTGAGGGATATGGGGTACAAGGAGCATCTTCCAAGCACAATGGCCCCTGGTGACCCCGGCATCCCCGTAATGATGCAGTCTTGTCCCCACCTCCCACAGGGACAACCCTGCCCCAGCACACCTCACCCTCCACACACCTGTGGTGGCACTGCAAACCCAGGGCCTCATGGAGCTCCCCAAGCCGGGAAGAAGGGCTGCTTCCCAAACTGTGTTCCTCAGCCCTGGGGCCCACAGAAGTTCTGCCCAGAAGGTGTTCATGGTCACCTGCCTTTGGGAACCCCTGGATCATGCCACTGCTCTCCTGGAGGGCTTACTGGGCAGGGCCTGGAGCCCCTGGGACCTGGGTTGGACCCATGCTTCCCCCACTTACTACCTGTTCCTCATCCCCCTGTGCCTCAGTTTCTACCTCTGTCCCCATTGCTGCTGGAGAGCCACATGAGTAACATGTTGGTGGAGACCTGAGCACTTAGAAATCATCACTGCTACCATTTGTACCACAGAGTCAATGTCAACCCTGCCACCATGTGCTAGGGGCTCCCGGAGTAGTCTGGAGGGTTCCGATCCCCAAGGAGCCCAGTCTCCACACTGGCACACCCTTTCTTGGTGGATCCAGCACTCATGGGCCCCTGGAGTACAGCTTTGCAGGGAGGCCCAGGGGTCAGAGCAGCAGTAAAGTCCCCCAGGCCTGGCAGAGAGGAGAGGCATCCACACAGACCTGGCCCACTCCGCGAAGCACACCAGCCACACTCTCCTCAGCCTGCTCTTTACTGCTTCGAAAGGCATCTGAGACTAGATGGAGCCTACGGCTTCAGGGAGACCAGGGCTGGGGGGCGGGGGTGCTAGGTTTTAACAAGTGTCCCAGCATGGAGACCTGGCCAGGACAGCCCCACAGGAAGACCATGAGGACCCACAGGGTAGGTTCCAGGACCTGGATCTCAGCTCAGCAGAAAGAAAGACATCCAAATGAGCCTAGTCTGACCTGAAGAGGAGGGGGTTTGAGAAGCAGGACAGCATGCAGAGCTGGTGGGTTCCCCAAAGGGCTGAGCACAGGGCAGTGCAGGGGACTCTGACCCTCCCATCTCTGTTTGTCATCCGGTGGATGGCAGATAATGGAGTATTCTGCTGGGATCCCTACAGCCCCTGCCATGCCTCTGACAGCCAAGCACAAGTCCCAGGACAGGCTTATCACTGAGGTAAGCAGTGTCCCTGCTCCCTCAGACTCAGGAATAAAGTCCCAGTTCCAATTGGGGAAGACAGCAGGGGACCCTCTGCTTCCCAAGAAGGGTGTGTGGCTCCACCTAGCATCCTGGACACAGGGCATCCAAATCAGGACGGGTTAGCACCTCATCTAAATTCTGTGGCTGAATTAGCATCTGCTTAGAAGGGACCTGGCCAGCTCCAAGGCCACCCAGCTGGCCCTGAAACTCCATCTTGGGAGGTCTGGGTGGCATTGACTTGTCCACTTTCAGGGACCCATGATGAGGCTTGACCCCCAGGGCCTGCACACCAGCTGTTGTCCCTGCCCTCCTCCACCCACGGCATCTTCCAGGCTGACCCAGCCACCTCCCCATCAGCCTCCGCACCTGACCCCTCTGGGGACCCTCTCCTCCTGCGGAAAAGTAAACAGGCCCTCGGAGTGCTGACTGACAGTGCAGATGGAACCCACGCCCCTCCTCCCCCGCAGATTTACAGGGGAAGTGAAATCTTATTTGCACTGCTGCCAAGCCTGGGCTGAGATGAAATTATGCCTTGAGAAGAGACCCGGCTGCTCCTCAAGGAAGCCGCTGCATCCGAGATGGGCTTATTAAAAGCCACAGTGGCCACATTTCAACCTGTTTCAGGTGTTAAGTAATTTACTGTCACCTAGAATTCAGTGGCAGGTTTTTATCATTTTGATTTCCGCAATACAGACCAACATCCCCGAGGTTTTTGCGCAGGTCCCCATCGGCACAGAGGAGGGACCTGGGGCAAGGGTGGGCCACAGTGGTAGAAAATGCAGGGTGACTCCAGGCCTGGCCAGGGTGATGGGGAGGGCAGGACCCAAGACTCTTGTCCCATCCGTAATTTGGGGAGTCTCAGTAAATGTCCCAAAGACTCCTGGGACACTTTCTGAAGGCGGCAGAAGTATTATCTATATGAGAGTAGAGTCTGGTCTCAGGACCTGGCCAAGAGACCCACAGTCAACAAGTCTTTTTTTCCTTTTTCCTTTTTATCGGTACCAGGGATCGAACTCACGACTGCCTGCTTGCAAGGCAGGTGCTTATGCTGCTGAGCTAAATCCCCAGCCCCAACAAGTCTTCACTGAGGGCTGGGGATGTAGCTCAGTGCAGAGACCCCAGGTTTAATCCCTAGTATTGCAGGAGAGGAGGTGGGGGAGAGAGAGAGACAGAGACAGAGAGAGAAGGAGAGAGGAAGGGCAACAGCGAAGAAGAAAAGGGAAAAGGAGGAAGAGACATCTTTTAAAATCTTCATTGACTAAAAAAAAAAAAAAAAAAAAAATCTTCATTGACTGAGTTGAGAGCAGCCAGAGGCCAGCCTGGACTATCCGGCATCTGCTAAAATCATCAACAACAACAACAAAAATCCTCAATCCCAGATACTCAGGATGCTGAAGCGGGACGATCACAGGTTTGAGACCAACCTGGGTAACTTAGTGAGACCTTGTCTCAAAATAACCCCCCCCACAAAAAAGGGCTGGGGACAGAGCGCTTATTGAACACACGCAAGGCCCTAGGTCTACCGCCCTATAACACTGCAAATAAATTAACTGATTAAATCACAATAATTTTAAAACCGAAGGCTTTTTTGAGTAACTGCCCACCTCAGCTAGGGAACACAGCATCCAGGAGGGCTCCTAGCACACCAGCCCCTCGGAACTCGGATTCCAGCAGCAAGCCCAGTGATGGGTGGGATGGGGACCAGGCGGGGATGGACAGGAAGGGAGAGCCCTGGGCACAGGGACCTCTCCACTGCCAGGCAGTTCGAGACCCAAGCCCTCACCCCTGGAGTGTCCAGTCCTACGCTTCCTCCTAGGAACTCTTGAGGAACACGCAGCTTGGAATCAGGGAGTCTGCAGCCTGGGGTGCAGGCAGGGAGCAGCCCCAAGCATTTGAACCTTCTCAGTGGTGCTGAGTGGAGGGCAGCTTGATGCCTGTCCCCTTTTGGGGGGGATTAAGCCTATTACGAAGGCTTTGAGAGTTTATCCCACACCCTTTCCGACACCTCCTTTCTCCACCTGTTTTCAAATACTCCAGGAAGACCAAGGGGAATCTTCAAAGTTCAGGCTGAGCCAAGAGCAGGAATTCTTTAATTAGCTTTCTCTTG